ACTCAAACTTGAGGTTTATCTAATCAAAAAAATTCCTGATCAAAAAAAGTTTAAATTCCTCCTTTTATTTTGGATGAATTTGTGCATACTATCAATCGGCCACTCAGTAAATTATTATTATTGCCTGACAGTTTTACCAAAACCGCCTGAAAAGGAATGTCAATAAATTCAAAAACACGTTATTTAGATGCATTCTACAATGCTAAAAGTGCATACTAGCAATTCAAAAAATCATTCATGTCTGAATTTTTTACGTTCCAAGGTTGAACTTCAGAAACAGTGTTCGGTATATCTCTCTTAACGCATTTTTTAAAAAAATTTAAAAAATACGCTATTTTCAGTCTGTCCGTCCCTTTATCGTAGGTATCAAATAAAAGTTTAGATATATTGTCTGGAAGTGAACCTCTCCTTTTCAACTTTCTAGCTAGGCCCTATGGCAACTTCTCTGACGGTGGAGAAAAGGGTGGAAATTCTACTACTACAATCATTTTCCAAAAAAAATTATGGACTTCCGGTTTACTTTAGTCGGAGGTGTATATGTAAAGAAAGAAACCCAGAATAGAATAATAGTCCAGGCTATATAATATTTTTGTATGAAAAAAATTAGTTACCGGGCGAAACCGGGTTTTTCAGGCAGGTGGAATGAATAGAATTTGGGAAAAAATAATTAAAACAGCTGAATTTTTCCGCGGGTGAAATCACGGGGGTGAAAAGGGTGGAAGGTGGTATTTTGCAAATTGTGGTAAAACCATTGATTTTAGACGAAAATGTTAAATGTAAACGTTATAGAGATTAAAAAAATGAGCAACTTTTGTATCTACACTATTTTCACATAACCTCCAACTTTCCTACAAAAACCGGAAAATCTGTGTTTTTCGTTTTTTATTCTTATTTTTGCGAAAAAATGTCGTAGGGGTTTGAAATTTGGAGGTAACATAGCCTGTTTTATGATAAAACAGAAGATAATTGTCTGGGCCCATAAAGTTGAACCGTTTCCAAGATCTCCCGATTCTGAAAAAAATCACCTCTTTTTCAAGGGGATGAAAAATCTATTTTTTTCATCGTACAGAGGTGCGCGGGGTAGCAACATTTTCGGGAAGACTTATATTTTAATAAACAAAAATAAAAAATATTATTCCTATAGCAAAAATTTGCGAAAATCGCCAAAAACCGGAAAAACAGTTTTAATATATACACGGTTTTTGACATGATAAATCAACATGGTTGTTAATAAAGATTTTTTCGAAATCTGTCTTCTTCCTTCTCTTTAATGTTTGCCTAAATATTCTTTTTTGTTATCTTATGCTCAACTGTTTTAGTTAAAACATCTTTATTATTTCTTTTTTCTGCATTTTTACCGCAATAAAAGCAATTCGAAATAAAATCGAATTATGTATCTTGCTTCCTGATTCTTGAACAATTTATTTTTGTTCACTGACTCTTCTTCCTGCTTGTTTTATAACTGATGAAATTGCGTTGGGCCGGTTGATAAACTTGCAAAATCTGCAATAAGAACGTTGGTTTTACCGGCCAAAAGCAAATGATTTGAGATGTCAAACCTGCAGGAATAAACTTTATGAGGATTCATAATTACTGTAAATTAACGATCAACAGGCCCAGCTTAATCCCATCAGCTGTAAAACAGGCAGGAAGAAGAGTTAGTGAACAAAAACATATTGTTCAGGAAGCAAAAGAATTCGATTTTACTTCAAATTACTTTTATTGCGGTAAAAATGCCAAAAAAAGAAACAATAAAAATGTTTTAATTAAGGCAGTTGGGCACTGGGAAACAAAAGAAAATATTTTAGCAACATTAAAGAGAAGAGAGAAGACAGATTTCCAAAACTTTTTATTAGCGCGGATCCAACACGTTAATTTATTTGCAAAAAAGCCTATTTACCTACTGTCAAAAAACGGTGTATCTTAAAACCGTTCCCCTCGTTTTTGCCGCTTTTCTTGAAATTTTTCTATTGGAATAATATTTTTTATTTTTGATTATTAAAATTTAAGTCGTTACGAAAATTTTGTTACCCCGCGCACCTCTGTACGATGAAAAAAATAGATTTTTCATCCCCTTGAAAAAGAGGTGATTTTTTACAGAAATCGTGAGATCTTGGAAACGGTTCAACTTTATAGGCCCAAACAACTATCTTCTGTTTTATCATAAAACAGGTTGTTACCTCCAAATTTCAAACCCCTACGACATTTTTTCGCAAAAATAAGAGTAAAAAACGAAAAAAACAGTTTTTCCGGTTTCTCTAGGAAAATTTGAGGTTATGTGAAAATAGTGTATATACAAAAGTTGCTTATTTTTTTAATCTCTATAACTTGTACATTTAACATTTTCGTCTAAAATCAATAGTTTTGCCACAATTTGCAAAATACTACTTTCCACCCATTTCAACCCCCGTAATTTCACCCGCGGAAAAATTCAGCTGTTTTAATTATTTTTTCCCAATTTCTATTAATTTCACCTGCCTGGAAAACCGGGTTTCTCCCGGTAACTAATTTTTTTAAAAAATAAATCTTTTTAGAGCTATTTAGCCTGGACTATAAGACATTTTATAGAAATTAAATAGAATTATAAACATGTGCCTAAGGAAGTATAATTAGTGTACAATCGTTTGGAAAGAAGACCGAGCACCAAATGAAAACCAGAGGAATGGATATCCGCTCTCCCTAAAGCTCTTCGCGATAGCACTGGATAACGCTATAGAGCAAACCAGGAAGTTAGTGAGGAACTTCAGTACAGATGGATAATTACAATTACCGATACTATTTTCGTACGCGGACGATCTACTCGTAGTCGCGGACAAGATAGAAGACCTCGAGGACTTCGTCCAAACCAGCGAGGTATACCTGGAAATGGCAGGCCTACAAATAAACAACGGAAAGAGCTACATGATTATAAGAGACCCAGGAAACTACAAAGAAGGACGAAAGATCACAATAGCCTGGAGGGAGATAACTATGAAGAAAAAGATAAGATATCTAGGAGCGTGCATAAGTAGCACATTCTGTGGACACAACACAGTGACAGACAGAATAATCAACGCATTCAGAGTAATACACCTCAGCTCTAACAAAAAGCAACAGACAAACATTGAGGAGGGCGAAACGGAAGGCACTAAGGATACTGATGGAAAACACCAACCTCACAAGAAAGCAGATGAGGAAATTACTAGATGGAAAGACTATCACTAGGAGACCGAAGATGAGGAACAAAGACCGTATTCTGCATGTGACCAAGAACCTACAAGCCACGGAATGGAAAGTAGGCCGGTCCTGCTTCACATGGAACACCAGTATAGACCAAACGGTAGCGACCTCGGGGATTCCATAGAGAGATTGAAAGGGTGGAGCAGAGACAAACACAAAATGAAGAGAGAAAGCACTCAAGTACTTGATGTGAAAGAAAGATCAAACGTAAACACAAGCAGCCAAGAGGAGGAGGAAAAGGAGACAGAAAGGGAAACAGGGAGAGGACAACAATAAGGAAGGGAGATGCAAGAAAGAAGAAAACGATATCAAAGGATTGAGACATCGGAAACTGAGGTCGGGCAACTCCCCCAGTGAGCCCCCCCCCCTCACAATCTCCCCAATCCACAAAATGACATATGTCGCGGCTTAGCGCAATGGCAACAAAAGTGGTGGAGATGTTAGTTCCCACCAGGGACACATAAATTCTGGGAGAGGCAGCGCCAGGCATATGCCAAGGAATCGAGTATCAAGTAACCCACCTGAAGGAATTAATTTTGGAATGAGTTGATTATTCGGTTAAAAAAATCCTCCAGCTGGGTGCACCCTACTGTTAAGATTGTCAATAGTAGGATATTAAAACCGGTCAGATTGGCAATACAATTTTAGTAACAAATCTAAAACCATTGCTTGCAAAATTTTTCTTAAAGTTAGCATGGTTTAGTTTTCCAGGAGAACCCAATGGTTTTGTTTCCTGATGATGACGGCGTTTTAAGGTTAAGTGGAAGAACAGACGGCGGTAGTCTCCGCCGAACTGAACTTCGCCTTGTACAAGTGTGATATTTTATTTCCGTTTTGTTTTTGGGGATAATTATCTTCTACTTTAAAAAAATGTTAGACCACTGTCTTGTCATACATAATATACAAGGGGGATAGGGTAGTGGAATTCTTGAAATCAATCGTAGAGTAACCAGAAAATGACTCATATTGCCGTTACATTAACCATCGGTTACGATAATAGGTAAACATAGGAAAAATTGATCTTTTCCACCGAGTGGTGGAATGAAAAAATTTATTAATATATGATATAAATTAATTATTGTATTGAACCCGTAACTTTCAGATAAAGCATCGCTTTAAATAACGCAGTCACTTTAACTAAAAGTTAAGTAATTCATTCTTTCATGGTAAATTTGGTCATATGAGACATATACACGAAAGAATAGTAACTTTGTATTGGAACGTTAGCTGAGATAGAATTTGAAAATCGAACATTTCAAGCTCCCAGACGAATATCGGCTAAAAGCAAAAATGAAAAATACATCTCGTGACACTACAGCCATTTCACCTATTGTACTTGACAATGCACTTTTACACTAAATTGAAAATGTTCATCGAGACCACTGAGAAACAATTTAAACAAGTTATTAAAAATGTGTGTGCTGTATCGAAACAATATTGACTAACGCTTGACGAGCACGTACGTGTGACATATTTCATTAATTGTGAATTAAGCGAGGATTACTTCCTCCATTAGCCAAAGATAAGATAACTGTTACATGTACAAAATTAGGTAACACGAAAGGTTAAAGTTCAATTATCAATAGTTCATAAAAATTAATGATCAATTTAGAGCAGGTGAAAAAGAGGGTGTTGAGTAAGTGGTTTTCCCCCTTTATGTGTCTACTCCCAATTGAGACATCAATATTTCATTCCGATCCAAGGAACTTATCAATATACGATTCTCAATTTGTTTTTACTTAATTTTATATTACGCTACATAAAGAGTAAGGGTAACTTACCCCCTTCGATCGCTTTTATTTCAGGTCCTTCTTCAACCATTTTTATAAATTCTTTGGCTTAACTACACTATACGCACTATTTTTCGTATTCTCTGATGGGGGTTCTAAACCCCCAATTTGAAATATTGTAAATAAGATCGTTCCGAAGATGTCTGTGTTGCGTCTAACTTTAGGGTGTTAATGGATGGCCGGTTTTGTAATCAATAGCACAAACGCTTGCGCCGCGACGCTCGTGACGTCACATGTAAGGGGGTGGACGATGTCGAAATAATAATGAGTAGATATACTATTGTAACAATGTCACATGACTATTATATTACACTGAGTGTTCAGTTAACAATCCATATTTTTCACCTTGGACCATGTAACAAGTCCAGTGTCGTAATACTGAAAAATTTGTACCATAAGGAGACAGATTTATGCCATAAAGTGTTGCCTTGGTCGTATTAATTAATTTTGGAATACGCTTTCAAAGCAAATATATTCTCTGCTGCGTGACATCGGAGCTAGGACCAATTAATTGATTCGAATTACAGATCCAAATTTTAAGTAATGGTTCTAATTTCGCTTGAATCTTTTGATTCTGTACAAAAATCCAGACTGCTGACTTTTCGAGTTACACGAAAAAGTACTTCATAAAGAAGATGGAGAATCTCATTATACTCAGAATTAATTTGAGGTAATGTGGCTGATGTAGAAAGCTTTTCAGACATCAAGCAGATGACGCGGGAGGATTTTCTTTAAAGAAAAATCTTTTGATCAAGCGAAGAGCGTGTTTTGTTCTTGTTTGAAAAGCTTCAACGGGCCAAATTATTAGGGGAATATCATAAAATGCCAACGCCGTTTTGGTAAGATGTAGGGGAACAAATTTGAGGGTATATAAGTGTACAATTTACCCTCAAGTCCTAGCCCCCTCCCATCTCACAATTTTAACCTTTAACCTTCCAGCTGCGACACTTCGAAAAAAGCTTTTCATTCATAACCGAAAAGGCACATTTGCACTTGAATCGAGTTTATTTACAGTTACATAAACCGTTTACAAAACTTTCGTCATTCGTAATCCGCTTTAATGAATCAAGGAATAGGATTGAGTCGTTAAAATTTCGTTTCAGAATGTGGGTTGAATTTTTTGTGCCTTGTTGTTTTTCCAGGTAAAATTTAATTCTGCGAATGCCTTTTATTATTTTTGAAATATTTTTTTTAAGATAGGTTACTGTAGGTAAAGATTCCTTTCATGACAATGCAAAAATTTTTATATTCTTGTTGTAGATATTATTTAAGTCTAAACACCGAAAATAATGACGGGATACCCTGTATATGACAAACATTTCGGAGAGGGAGGGGGGATGTTAACGAATAAATGCAGAGTTGGTTAGTTTTTGTTGAATTTGTTCCTCAGTGTTTGGTTTAGTTTGTAATTACAGAATCATTTGTGTAAATTATTAAAGCTCAATTGTCCAATATAGGAAAAATCTAATATAACATTTGATTATAAATGCCTTCTATTTTCTAGTATACAGTGTGTCCCAAAAAGTTTTATACAATGGGAAAAAAAGGTTACTTTACACCTCTCTTTACACTAAAAAAAGTATTCTTCTTTAAAAACTCTGCATGACTTTTAGATTCATAATAAAATTAAGCACAACACGAACTGTTTTGACATTTGTTGACAGTTAGTACGTATATATTACAAAACTTTATCAAAAGAGTGTATAAAAAGGACACGTAGTAAAGGTTAGAAGTTAATGAAATTTTGGAATGTGCTTTAGGGATTTTATTTAATATATTTTCTCAAGTTTTCGAGCTCGAGACCCTGTGCGAAAAGGGAGAAGGGGGCTGCAAAATTTTTGACCTTCCGGTTTTTCTCAATACCTTTTTTTCTCTTAAGTATCCCATTTCAAAAGCAGCTATATACTTCATTATTTTTTATTTGAGGTAAATTAAAACTGTCACAAGCGCAATGCAAGTTTCTGTGAATGTTTTATCGTCGGGATAACGTACTTTTTCAGGGGTAAGGTTCGTAAATAGGGTACCAGAAGCAGTTTGGTACATTCGAGAAGATTCTATACGCAAAGTTTAGGAAGTTGTGCATTGTGCAAGTTCTGAGGGTCGGGAAAATCGGACCAACATTTACTTTAATAAAAATTGTAAAACAAAGGAAGCTACATACAGATCCGAGTAGCACGTGAGGTCAATTATAAAACGTCCCCTGTGCGGGAGACATTTTTCAAAAATCCCCATTGATTTTTTTAGTTGTCTGCTAGTTGGCAGGTTTTTAGGTGATATCCCTCCTCCACATCTCCCGGTCCATTGCCTCTCTCTGCATCCTACATACCCTGTTCACATCTTAAAATCATAAATTCTTTTCCTTTTTCTTCTTTCTTGCTTCTCTCCACCTTCCATCTCCACCGATCCTCTCTATACGTCTCTCATTCTTAATATCGTGCTCAAATTGTTTTTACTGCTGCGATTGCATCCCTGGTTCCCGAAACCCTTCGAAATCCAAATTGGTCTCTCCCCACTACCGCCTCCATTATATCCTCACCCTCCTATCCAACATCCTCAACAAAATCTTAGCAGTATGAGCTGTAACACTGAAGGTTCTGTGTTCCTCGAAATTCCTTGTTTTCTTCTTTTTCTGAAGTGGTATAATGGTTCTAAGAAAGTCTTCCGGCCACACGTAAATCTCATTACAGAAATCCCTCAGTATCCTCATTCCTTGTTGCTTTAAATCCTCTTCTAAACACTTTATTAACTCTACCGGAAACCCGTCTATCTCAGCACCCTTACCATTCTTCATATTTCTTATAGTCGGCGTTATTTCTGACATCACGATACTCCCGCCCTTATTTTCCTCTGGTACTTCTAATTCTTCCTCTACATTAATTCGTTCAGGTTTCTCATTGGGTTTGTATAACTTTTCCATAAAATCTTTCGTTCTATTCTGTCCTTGGTTATCTTGTGTCGTATTTAGCTGCTTTCTTCCATCCATTCTTGTTAGTCAAATACGAACTGGTCTATTCACAATATGTACATAGACATTACAATACTTTAGTGTATGATTAGTTGCATACACCACATCTCCCTTATTTATAAAGAACATAATCATTTAGAGCGGGTGGTAGTCTAATTTGTCTTTTGCTTCTCTCGTCACTTGCACTTACACTTGGTTTAGAATGATCGCTATCCTTATTACTAATTACATTTTGATGTGAATCTAAATTGTCATCATCAAATTAATATACAAAATTTGAATAATACTTATCCTTATTTTCTACATTATTTGTGTGACATTGTCTAATATAAAATCTATTTCTAATTAACACCTTACCATCTAATGTCTGCACTTTGTAAGTTGTATTACTAAGTTTGTCTACTATTTTACCCTTTTCCCATAGGCTTTTGGGTTTTAATTGATACCAAACAGCTGTGCCGATTTTAAAATCTTGTCTCGGTCTTACACCTTTACTATCATATTGCTTTTTGTTGTACGATTGAGAGTTACTAATTTTCTGATTAAGTTTTGTGTTGTTAATTAATTTTGGATTTAACTTTGAATCAATTATTAACAAGTTGTCTCTGAGGTATCGGGACATTAAAATTTGAGATGGTGTATAAGAATTGTAAACAGGAGTGTTACGGAAAGCTAATAATGCTAGATAAATATCTTCATTATTTTCAGTTGATTTCTTAATTAATTTTTTTATTGTTTGAATGGTTCTCTCCGTTTGTCCATTTGACTGTTGGTGATGCGGAGAGGATTTTATTGATAAAAAATTCCACTGTTTACTAAAATTTTGAAATTCAATGCCTGTGAATTGTTTTGCACTGTCGGAAACGACTATTTTTGGGATTCCATGTCTTGCAAAAATTGCTTTTAATTTGTTAATTATGTTACTAGATGTTAAATTTTTTTGAAGATTCGAGATTTCTGGAAATTTTGAGTAGTAGTCTACTACAATTAGATAAATTTTTCCAGATACTTCATATAAGTCAATGCCCACTTTTTGCCATGGTTTTTTAATTATTTCGTGTGAAATCATCGGTTCTCGTTTATTTGAGTTCGCATGTCTATTACACATCTCGCATTTATTTACAAGAGTTTCAATGTGCGAGTTCATGTTAGGCCAATAAACAGATGATTTTGCACGAGAAATGCATTTGTTTATACCTAAGTGACCTGTGTGTATGTCGTCTAGGATTTTGCTTCTCCACGATTGCGGAATAATGACTCTCTGTGACATATAAATTAAACCGTTGGTACCTAGCGTTATTTCGGCTTTTAATTTATGATACGGATTTATATTACTTGGAATTTTACTAATACTTGGCCAACCGTTTACTACATATTTTTTAATTGATTGAAGTTCTTCATCTTTACTGACTTCTTTTACTAACTGTGCTACCCGATTATCAGTTATTATTAATTTCTTTTGAATTAAGCATACCTGAGCTTCAAGATCTAAATTATCATCAAATGTCTTACTTGAATTAGCACGTGACAAAGTGTCTGCAATTATCAGATCTTTTCCTGGTTTGTAGATTAGGTGAATCTGATATTTTTGTAAGGATAATAACATACGTTGAAGTCTTGCAGGGCACGCATTTAATGGTTTTTTGAAAATTGCTATTAACGGTTTGTGATCCGTTTCTACTATGAATTTAGTTCCGTAAACGTACTGATGGAATTTGTTTACACCAAATACAATAGCTAATAATTCTTTTTCGATCTGAGCATAGTTCTGTTGTGTTGTTGTCATAGTACGTGATGCATATGCACAAGGTTGGTTATCTTGTAATAGTACTGCACCTAAACCGGATTTTGATGCATCTACCGATCATGTAATTGGTTTTTTAGGATTATAATATCTCAGTATAGGTTCTTTGATTACTAAATTTTTTAATTCTACAAATGCTTTATTTTGTGGTTCGCCCCATTCAAATAAATTTTCTTGTTTGATAATTTCCCTAAGTGGTTGAGTTTTTTCTGACAAATTTTCTATGAATCTACCAACATACGTGATAAAACCTAGGAATCTTTGTATGTCTTTTTTATTTTTAGGTTGAGGCATATTTTTTATAGCATCAATTTTTTCTTCATCTATCATTATCCCTTCACTCGAGAATTTATACCCTAAGTATTTAATTTCCCCTACTCCAAATCTACACTTACTTAAGTTAAATTTTACATTTTGCTCATGTGCTTTTCTGAACACGTTTTTTAGACGCTCGTCATGTTCCTGTTTGTCTTTACCGTGCACTAAAATATCATCAATGTATACCTGCACTCCGTTATCCGCGAATATTTCTTGGAATCGTTCCTGAAATACTTCACTAGCGGTTTTTATACCGAAAGGCATTCTTAAAAACTTGTACCTGCCAAAAGGCGTTGCAAATGTGCATAGTTTACTTGACTCCTTATCAAGAGGTATATTCCAAAAACCACTTGTAGCATCTAATAGTGTAAAAACTGTGGAACCATTAATGTTTGAAATTATGTCGTCTAAACTTGTTAATTTATATTTTGAATCTTTGATGGACTCATTTAAGTTTTTTGGATCAAGGCAAATTCGTAGAGAACCGTTATTTTTCCTTACAATGACGTAGGAATTTACCCACTCAGAACTTCCTTCAACTCGTTCGATTATTTTTAAATTTACCAATTCGTTCAAGTGTTTTTTAAATTGTTCTTGAATCGCAAAAGGTACATTTCTGATAGGCTTAACAACTGGCATTGCATTTTCATTTAGTTCAATGTGGTAGGGTATCCCTACTTTCCCTATTCCTTTAAATAAATTTGAATTATCGTTAATTAGCTTTTCGTATCCTGAATTACAATTTTTATTTATGGCATAAATTTCTTTTAATTTAACCTCCTCGTGAAATTTGATTATGTCTAACTCAACACAAGCGTTTATACCAATAATCGACCCATTGCCTTTGTGAATATGGAATTCAACATTTTTAATTAATTTGTCTTTTAGTCTAAGATGTAAATAGCATTTACCTACAATCGGAATTTTCTGACCTGTAAAAGTTAATAAAATTTCATGCGATCTTTGAATGCTTTTTTCATTAAATTCAATACTTTTCAATTGGTCTAGTGAAATTATGTTTGCATTAGCACCAGTGTCCACTTTAAAATTGACAAACACATTGACTTTGTTATTTACAATCAGTTCTATAGTACAATTATTAATTTTTGAATTGTTACTAATTTCATTTATCAACAGACTTTGTTCGTAATTATCATGATCAACAATTTCATTTATTTTCCTATTTCTATGTGATTTATATTTACAGACATTTGCAAAATGATTTGGTTTTTTGCAATTATTGCATAAGGCACCATAAGCAGAACAGTTATTAATTGAGTGATTTTTACCACATCTTGTACAATTACTTACTTTTTTAAATTGGTCTTTGTTATCAAACCGTGACTTCGTCTCCTTATTGGCACGTGAGTTTGATTCCATTGTTCTTGTGGTCCTTCTAATGCTGTCGATCTCGTTCACTCCTTGGGACTGTGACGATGTATTTTGTTTCATGTCTCGAAGTTGTTGGCGGGAACTCTCCGTTACGATACAACATTCAATGGCCTTGTCTAATGTCAAGTCTTCCTTTTGTAGTAGTTTTTCCCTGACAGCTTCGTCCTTGATTCCAATTATTAACATAGTTTTTATTAATTCGTTCCTTAATGCCTCTTCACCCAAATTGCATAGTTGAGCTTGGTTTTTCAGATTTGTGATGAATTGTTCCAGCGGTTCCTCATTTTGTCTCGAAGTAAAAAATTTGTAGCGTTCATACGTGACATTTGTTTTTGGAACAAAGTAATTTGCGAACTTTTCCTTGAGGGAGGCAATTTTATTTTTCTCGTTATCTGCAAACGTGAAACTGTTGAAAATGTTAATGGCGTCCTCACCCATGTGATGAAGCATTTGTGCGCATTGGATCTTCTGGTCCTTGCCATCTAACTCTGTTGCTGTTGAATATATTTCGAATCGCTGTATCCAACTTTTCCAATTTTCGGCTAGGTTTCCACTTAATTTCATAGGTCGTAGTTTTTCATTTGAGTCCATTTTTAATTTCTCTGCTTCAATTTTCATTCATATAACTTGATTTATCAATTAAATTTAGGTTCGTGACTGCGCCATGTCATGTCTCTTTGTTAGTCAAATACGAACTGGTTTATTCACATTGAACATTGATACAATATGTACATAGACATTACAATACTTTAGTGTATGATTAGTTGCATACACCACAGTATCCATGGATTTCTTGCTCTTTCCTTTTCTTTTCAAGCCCTTTGATTATCGTATTCCTAATGTTCTTTCACTTATCTTCTGTAGTTTCATGACTCTTAATTGCAGCCTCTCTTTTCATTTCAATTCCTATTGCCCTTCCTATACATTCTTTATCCACCTCCCTGAATTTTACCAGATCCAATTCCTTTATTCTTTTTACGACTTTAATCCTTTCTTTCGATCTGTCTTCAGGGGATTTGTTTCCTTTTATGGTGTTCGAACTAAGTGTTGGGTATGACCATATTCCTTTCCTTGCAGAATTCTGTTAAACGTAACCCCTTTCATTCCTTGCTCCCAATTCATAATTTCCAACAACTAACAACTACAACGCGTCAGTGAACAGAGGTTGTACCGCGTGAATGTTAGGTTTGGCATTTGAATGGGAGAGGCTATGTGGGGTGCATCCCACCCCTTACAATCCATGTTCTGATTCTCTAGGGGTAATAAAATTATAGCCACCTCAAAAATGTTTTCTCACGATGTTGAAAATTTATAAAAGTTGAGTTCTTTCAAATTTGGCTTGCTAGATATAATCGCGTCAATAAATACAAAACAGAAGCAGTCTTCGGAAGTCCTCAAAAACAGCTCCGATTTTGTTGATTTTTTAAACATTTTGTTTTTTTATTATAATTTAAAATTAGAAGTCTTTCAGAGGGGGGGAATAATGTTTGTATTGTTTAAATAATATGTATATATTAATCAATTAATTAATTAAGGTATTTTTTTAAGTAGGAAAATGTTAAGCGCATTTTTTTAGAATCCGTCTGTGCGTCTATTCGGACCCTTCTGCGATTTTGAACTACTTTTAGGGGAATTGTCCTAGCGTCCTCGAATTTTTTGCAATAGGTAGCCCATACCTTGAAGATGCGCCAGACAGCCATTAAATTTTATTGTCTTAAGGCCCCCCCCCCATGAATATCCCGAGATGATGTTTTTGAAAGTGAAACGTGCATAACATTTTGCTTACGTAGTAAAAAAAAGGGGGAGGGGGTTATAATGTCTTATATCTCAAGAGCGGAGTATTGGAGGAGAGTACTCACAAAGGGTTATTGGGAGGTAATATATCCATTGATGATGTTAAAACTTTATGAGCGAATTTCTCGAATACCGTGTGCCGTAGGAAAGCACTCACGAAGGGCAAGTAGGACGTCTAGACGAGACACATCTGTTGGTAATGTCAAAACTTTCAGTATAAAGATTTGCAGAACGGAGTGTAAGAGTACTCTCAAAGGGCAGTTGAAACGTCTAGACGAGACGTATCTATTGCTGACGCGAAAACAAAAGTGTGGACATAACAATGCAGTATCGGATGCAGGTACCTGCAAAGAAAAAATGCAATATTGCAGAGAATTCCTCTAAGGGATTGATTCTTTTTGTAGTATATAGCGTAAATTTGCCAGAGGTGAAGGTAATACATCGATTAATCTGGCATTTATTTTATTTATTTTATTTATTTTATTTATTTTATTTATTTTATTTATTTTATTTATTTTATTTATTTTATTTATTTTATTTATTTTATTTATTTTATTTATTTTATTTATTTTATTTATTTTATTTATTTTATTTATTTTATTTATTTTATTTATTTTATTTTTGAGATTCCAAGATGTCATCAGATTTAAGTGGTGTCACTTCCACTGCATACAATGCGTTTACAATGAAGGCGACTGTGCAAAATATACTCTTATAATATTGCTGATTGGGTCATTTTAATTAGTTCTAAATAATTTATTATAGAATTATAATTATAAATAATAGATGAACAATTTTTGTGGAAAAATCACACAAAAGTAGAATAAATTTTGTTTCTGATTTAAAACAATATAAAAAAACAAAAAAAGAGAATCATCCAAATCGGAGCTGTTTCCGAGGACTTCCCGAGAAAAACCTTTACTGACGGGACTAATATATTTAGCAACAAATGGCAAAAAGTAGAAGAAAAATGTATTAGCTTTCTTAAATTAAATTGGTTGTATTTACAAGCTTGTATTATTATAATATATATAATATAGAATTACAGCAATGCACATAACCAGATGAATCCCGCACAATAATTATTTTTATTTCAAAATAATTATAACAATTAACGTGTTAGAAATTAATACATCGGAAAATAGTGTAATAAAATATAAAGATACTTCAAATTTACAGGATGTTTTTGATCTTCTTGCTTTACTCTCTAAATTAGTAGCCGGCCAATTCGGCAAAGGTGGAGTCCATTTCGTCGGCCAATGACTTGTACCTGTCCTTGTTGATTCCAAGTTCGTCTGTAAATGAAAAACGGTGAGATTTTGTCAGGTTCGCGTAAAAGGGCGGTTGAGTACCTGGGCATTTGCATTAATGTAGCGGAAGCGTGGAGTAAAGCTAAGAAAGAAATGCGTAAGCTAGGGAAGGTGCGTTATTTGTTAGCGGTAAGCGAAGCCATTTCAGTGAACGTTTTGTCAATTTCATTTAATACTCCTTGATACTTAGATTTTTCGCGAAGCACAAAGTCTGAAAAGATTGAAAAGCGTGAAGCGGAAGAAGCGATAGTAATAGGAGGGACGCTGGAATACCTTCAATTCTATCAACTTCCTTCTGCAATTTCTTCACGGCCTTCTCGGCGTATTCAGCGCGAGCTTCGGCCTCCTTTAGTTTGACGGTGAGAGATTTTAATTGCTTCTTGAATTCTTCCACCCGTTGGTTGGCCTTTTCTTCGGACACCTCGAGTGATTTGAGCGAATTTCCGACGACCTTCAATTCTTCCTCAAGTTCCATAATCTTGGCGTCACCGCCTTTGACACGATCTTCGGCTACTTCAAGTTCGTCTTCAACGAACGCCAGTTTGCGGGAGACTTCGTCGGATTTGTTGTCGGCATCCTCGGCGAGCATACGCGCTTCCTTCAGCTGGGCGGTTAGTTGATCCATACGTTCTTCATCTTGTAAAGCACGATTTTCCAATACCTTGCACATACTGTAACGCGTTCAGATTGAGTAAGTAGAAGAAGGAGATAACTTACCGGGAGCTCTCATCAGCTGCTTCAGACGCTTCCGCAAGTTTAGTAGATGCGGTTCCTAGACGTTCTTCGGAACGTTCCAAATCTTCTTCAATGAGTTGGACTTTGCGATTTAAGGCAGCCATCTCTGATTCGGCCTGAAGATCCGTTATTTACCATCTTAAGGGTTTCAGTTATACTTACGTTGTTTAACGTTTTCTCTTTAGTTTCAAGGTCTTTGTTAGCTTGTTCAAGGTTGTTTTTAGTTGTTTCAAAATCAGCTTCCACTTGTGCCAATTTCTTTGTGTATTCGTACACCTCTTCTTTCACCTAAAACAAGATCATCATTGATACTGGAAGGGTTCATGCCTATGTATGTGTCTTTAGGCGTACTTATTTCCCAGAGGGTTTTTACAAGGAGCGAAGACATTTACCTTTTCAGCACGCATGTTCGCATCCTTGAACTGCCCTTCCATCGCATCGGCTTTATCCTGTGCATTGTCCTTTTCAAGCTTCATCGCTTGCATTTTCTTCTTGATCGCGTCCATTGTGCTTAGTTTTTTAGGGCTGGCTCAGAGGGAAAACGAAAAACTGCCTGAAATGTAATTACAGTGTTAAAATTTTAATCATTCGTAGTCTTTTGCACCCTACAATTTGAGCAAACCTTAAGATCTGGTATGGCTTTGGTGCGGCTTATTTTTAATTATCGCCGTGCAAATTTTTAAATTCTATTTTCAAGTAATCGGCAAAGTATCTGTTTCCATATCATATTTTGTTCCACTGACAAATTCAGCCGATATAAGAAAAAACGTTACGTAATTTAAGTAAGAATGGAATGGATTGTTTAAGACGGCCATTAAATTGCGTGCGTTAAAGGTATGAGGAAGTATTCAAAAATACACCTGCGGATATAAATGGATGCGTTTCAAAAAAATGTTGAAAATTTTTTGTGTCAAATTTAAAAATAATCTGGAAAAATATTTTATAACGTTAGATCGGTAAACCGAGATAGAAGATGTTCCTACTTGATACCCAATATGAAAGTAGGTACGAAAATAACCCGCTCCTAGTTTAGCCTGGTTGAACATTCCGGCGCGTCAAATAATAACAAAAAAAGGAGCATGCAGAAAGCTCGGGAAAATCACTTGAATCCGCAAATTGCGAAGGGGACGTTACGTCGAAATTAGGATAAAAATAACCGATCCTTGTACGACAATCGCAAATTTGGTTACGAACGTTTCACTTTTATTTAATTTTGGTAATTGAATTACTCTAACGTAACATTTAAACAGTTGGTAAAATTAATTACGAATAGCTTAATTAGTAATTAAATGGTGTTCAGCCTATTAGCAAAATGGTTAATAAGGGCCCAGCGATTAAACACGCACCTACCTGTGCCTGAAGGCGATCGGAGGATGTTGGCTAACCTAAGAGCAATAAGCGTCGCGACGTCAACTACGCTTACCATTTCTCTAACGCTGTCGTCATCTTCCCCTACCTCCCACCATCGCAGATTATTTTCATAATTTCGGTCACAGTTGTGTGAACCTCAACATTTTTGGCAATGCAGTTTGTGCGATAATAATTAGGTAATTGCAGCCCATCTGTACCCACCTGTTTTAATTAAAAGTGCAATTAGGAATAAATTTAATTAGCGTTTAGTCGAAACTGTTGGTACACTTCCGTTGAAATAAGTTAGTGAGTGAGATTAGAGACCTCAATAAGGCACGAAAACGGTGAACTACAAGAAAAGAAATCCAAAGTGTCCAATGTTCCAAAAAACTCCAGCGTCGCCACATTTCAGTTCCACCCCCATAAGCAAAAAGAACTGTTTGGAGTTCATTTGTCTGAATGGATTTTAAGAAGCGTCTTCTCTACACTTTCTTACAACAAGGCGCATTTTGGGTTCAAATCTTAGCTTAAAATGAGCCTATCCAAGAAGATCTGCGTAAAACAGCACCACACATCCATTCATGAACTTTACTGAAACACTTAAAAAAATGACATTGTGATATACACTTATCAACCCTAACCCCTTCTCGTCCATAGAGCTTTAATCTGTCTTAAGGTCAACTTCAAAAAACCCAAACCCCAACTTAAAATGAAAAGGTTGAAAAAATACGATGAGGAAGGAAAACCCTGAAAACACACGGATCCGCTAGAATATCTCTCCTCGGACAGTCTCCTGCAACACCTGGTGCCCCTGAAACCGTTGTTTCACGATGTAAGTAAATTATTTGTACTCAACTTCGATCAACTCAGTGACTTCCTGGCCAACGTATATGGAAACTCTGATCCACTATCATCGAAATGATGCATGATTTATAACCCTCCTTACAGAACAGGGGACAAACAATGGCCCTGACTTTTATTAATACAGAGAGGTAAATCAGAGATAAACTCTTACTAACGACTTGGAAAATGAACACCTATATATGGAAGAATTAGCTGAATGCTTAAAACAATACCGAAACTCATCTCCTGGCCCGGACGATCTCCATCTCCCCTTCATTATCTCTCTGCTAAATTATTTCGGGCTTTTAATTCTGAAGCCAGACAAAACGCGACCCGATTCCTCATCATACAGATCGCACTCACACGCACTCCCTCCAAGTTCCTGGAGATTCTTAGCAAACGCTTAATCTGGTTCCTTGACTTCAGCAACCTCTTATGTTCGGCTCAGAGTGGTTTTTGGAAAGCCAGATCCATCGTCGACAATTTAAAGTCTTCAACAGCTTTGATGCAAAACTCCATTCGTCGGGTCGTCTTAAATCTTGGACTTGGAAAACAAGCTTCAGCTTCTCTGCTGCAAGGGAATTGTTCTTGCCAAAAGATCTGCAGTTGAGCGGTCACTTTTCCTTTTTAATCAGCAGCTCCAGAACTATGACTCTGTTAACTACCTTGGCTTGGAGTACTTTTTCATCGCAAACTCACATTGCATGAATACATAAATCGATTGATTAAAGAGTGCCTTGCCATCTTGAAAATCGTAGCTCATCACACTTGGGGTGTAGAAACAACCATGCTTTTGAGAATCTGTAGATGCCTCACCCGATCACGTTTACACTACGGATCGAATGACTCTTCATCTGCAAAACCCCATCTTCTCAAAAAATTAGATGTAATTCAAAACGCTGCCCTACGTATCGCCCTAGGCGCCTTTCACGCATCCCCTGCCCACAGTCTGAAATGTCTCCCCACCTTTACACGTGACTCAATATCCTCACTTGAAATTATATCCTGCAAATCGTCGAAAACACCGCCTCTCACGATCTCATTCTACTAAGACGTCCACTAGAATTTTTCTCAAACAAACCCTTTCTGCACCATTCCATTCATCACCGACTCTCCCTACTCCTTCAAAACCCTAAACCACTGCTTACCTGCTGTCCATCCAAAGCACCATCTCATCTCAGCCCCTTGACCTCAATGCGATGTACTTTTCCACACTCAAATGCAGAATGCTCCAAAGGAACTCACTCAGAAAAATTTGCTTCCAGAATACTCATCTCTCCAAACTATGTTTCTTTTTCCTTGGGAGCAATAGACTGTTTCTTCAAGCCGAATTTGTAGGAAAACGTTCCCCCGAGGAGGTGTCTATTCTATTGAATTTATTGAGCGAATATCACTCAGCGAACTATAATCTGCATACAATTTCATACGTAAGGAACAGTCCAGGGTTGAATTTGACCCGTAATTAGCTTCATACTCCATTAGGTCAATGGCATTTATTATCACGCGGAAGTGTGGGGGTGTACTCTCCACTACAGCCCGGACAGAGTTTCAGAGGTCGCTCACTAAATTGCAATCTAAAGCATTTCTTATCGACCCATCAATATTGAAACCAAAAGAGAGGATTGAAAGAATCTGGACCTCGATCTGGACCATAAGTCGAGCCCCTCCCCTTCCCAACAATGGTTTATATATTGACATTACCAGGTTAATGCATTTTTTATGCACTAGTCAAATCCCATATTTTTCCCAACGTCCAACACAGTTCATTTCAATAGTAGATTGTAATAGTTATCGGACGACAATATAAATTGTTGGCCTAGGTGTTTAGCCGAGGCCAACAAGCATTGGAGTCCGAGAATGTGCTTTTATTACAAGGTACACATATTATTTTTTCCAGGATTTTTTCTGAAAACGCAGTCAACATCGTCATAAATTAAGGAATTTTGATAAATGCATAACAATTTTTGGTTACCATCTTATTATCTATGAAATCGTTTCCTTGACAACTGTTTGACATACTTTGAAGGGGTGAGCCGGCAAGTTCGTTGCTTAGTAACGAGCTAAAGTACTGGATTGGCGTACGAGGGGGGACCCAAAAGAAACGGGAATTTCATCATAATTTCTTTATTTCTTAATATTTTTATACCAAATTTTTATCACCTTCAAAGTACTCCCCATTGACTACAACGATCCTTCCATTGTTCAATGCATTTTTTAAATTCACTTATCGGGATGTTTTTTAGGCCTTCTAGCGATTTTTGTTTTACCTCCTCCACAGTGGAAAAACGCTTTCCTTTCATGTCTTTTTTTAGTCTGGGGAACAAAAAAAAATCACAGGAGGTCTGAATTTGCGAAAAAGTAGGTATTTCCATTTCAGAGCCATTTCAGAAATTATACTTGCAGGGAACATTGCGGCGGCATATTACCAGTAGCTGAATACTTCAAGGACGGAGGCGAATATTTTGGGAGTAAGCTTACCGATGCGAATTTACTGAAAACAGGCAAATTTAGATCTTGCTTCTATAAGTACTTAATCACGGCTGTCATTACTTAGTGAGGAGATACCGAGTACTGCTTCAGATCGTTTGGAAACTTACAGATCTGAATATTGTAACGTGAATTTAATTACCTCGTTTATTATTTACAAATAATTAACCATAATTTATAACAATCTTAAAACGGGTTAATTTATAACAGTAATTTTTATTTTTTCACTCACTTTATAACAGGGACCCGGACCCAAATGAAATATCGGTTCCGGTTCTGTTTATATTTAAGCGAAAATATTTATAACGGTTCCGGTCTGGTTTCGGTTCTAAAAGGAAATAACGGTTCGGTTCTGCGCATTTTTTTCGGTCCATAACGGTTATTTGCGGTTCTAGTTTTTAGAAAGTATGGCATTCAAAAAATTCATTATAACAACGTGATTTGTTAATTAATAGGTGCGAAGAAAAAGCCATGAATACCAAAACGTGACGTATCGTATAATTTATAACGACAAGGGGAATAAAGGAGGAAGAGGGAAATGCGTATTTACACTTTATTACTAAAAAACAGAAAATTTTATTTTATAAAACCTCGCCCCTCCTTTTTTATTTAGTGGCTAAATTAGCGCCACCGCCACTCGTAATGCCTTCAATTTCGACACCTTATTAAAAATGTATAATCCACCGATGGCAATCATAGACTAATATTTTATCAATTTTCAGGACGTGGTTGCCGGCGCGTCCTTCAACTTCCAATAACCTGTTAAGAACCGTAAAAAACCGAAAAGAACCGAAAAAAGTAATATAGGTTCCGGTTCTCAATACGTTTCCATTTCTGAAGGAATAACGGTTTCGGTTCGGTTTTCGGTCCAGAAAAAAATAACGGTTTCGGTCCGGTTTTCGGTTCTTTTTCGGTCCGGTCCGGGTCCCTGCTTTATAACATAACTCAAGCGCGTCGATGTTGGAACTGAACTCGAAACACAATTCGATTTACTTATGTTCTTAGAATGTTCTCGAGTACTCAGGGATGCTTCTCGAACATACCCGTCACCATTCCGTCTCATTCGCCTTCGTTATTTATCGCCGATGACTATTATTTCATAGCACCTCGATATCCATCGAGATTTCTGGAATGTTCGCTACACTGCCCCATTCTTAAACGTATTGTGTCTCGCAACACGGACGACGGTTGGTGCAGGTGGGCTCTTGTTCTATAGCGCGAACTTAATGGGGGTACTTGCACGACGACCCCTTCGTGCATCTTCCATTCTTGAACACAAAAACAATCAACAGTCTTAGGAATCGATTGCGGAGTTCCTCTGGGGTTAAAGCAACAAGCCAATGTTCCCTGGAATACCATCTTCAGCATACTGCGAGCGATGCACCAGTCCAACACACGTATTCGTTCCCCATCATAGTTTCTTCCTCGCTGGGTCTTGTAACAAACTTTTGACAAGTACTTCCTCATTGATGTCCTACCATTCTGTCTGGCTGTGGGTGTAAAGTAGTGGTTCTGGTCTTGTGAATGCCCAATAGTGGACACAGGCTTTCGAGCAGCGCCGAAGTTCCGTGCCTGGCCAGAGTGTAGTTCCAGGAGTACTCCACGTCTGCCAAGAAAGTTCTACCAGAACGTCTTCCAAGGTTATAACTTCTTGATTTGGTAGAGCATATGCTTCTGTCCATTTGCTGAAATACTCCATGGGCACCGAGATATATTTATTTCCAGCAGCTCTCTCTCTCGAAAGAGGCCTACCGATACCAATGACTATTCATTCAACCTACCGATATATTGCTTGTGGCACAAACTGCACATTTTCTGCACCGTTCTTATACTCAAATTTACCCAGTAGAATCGTTCCCGCATCTTAACCAGGGTTTTCGTGACTCCTAGGTAACCTCCCAATGTACCATCGTGTTACTTATACTCAAATTTACCCAGTAGAATCGTTCCCGCATCTTAACCAGGGTTTTCGTGACTCCTAGGTAACCTCCCAATGTACCATCGTGCATTTGTGGTAATACTTCAGATTACTTGCCTTCCGGTATCACTAGCTGCATCCTGGTGGCCGTACCATTATCATTTTCTAGGCCATCCTCTAACCGTAACGATCCCCACTGAGACCAATACGCCTTTAGAACTAGACCGTATTCAGCGCAACTTCATGTTTCACTCATGCGGCCTGGATCACAGTCTCGAAGGCTCCTTTTCATTGAGCCGTCCTAGTTTTCCCTGGCTATTGGTCACTGTACTTTTTTCTGTGTTGGTTTTCACCACAACCTCCACACGGTAGTCTTCTTCGTTTTCTCCAGTTGCTGCATGACCGTGTTCACCCTCTTCTAGAGTCTCGTCTTCTTCATCTGTCACGCGAGCATTACCACGAGACGTTTTCTTTGCAGCATCAAACTCTAGAGCATGCACCAAATCAATTTCCAATTTCTCATGGTTTTTATGGTTAATAATTTTGAATGCGAAGTTTCCGGGGGCGAATAATTAGTAATCGAATTTTGTGCGACAAATATTCCGGGAGCGACGAATGTTCTCTGGAAGCGTGGAACGATTTTAGATACAGTGAGGGCAAATGTTCTGAGAGAAAAATATTCGTAGACTAACTTATCGGGCGGATATTCTAGGGTGTGTTTGAATAGGACTATTTGTTTTTGTTCCGATGGCAACATTTAGGAGGGCAAAGATTTAGGAACAAATACGACCTGAACGAAAATTCCGGGAAAAAATTTTAATGAGCGCATTTGTTAGGGTGAACTAACCTACTATGAACATTCCTGGTAAAATATACTCCCGGAAAGGGTTTTCGGGGTGAACTAACCTGTAATTTTTAGTGGCAAATTTTTCGGTGGCTACGGTTGAATATCTTACAACTGAATTTTGTATGGGGAATCGAATTGAGGCTAATATTTCGTTTGCGAATAATCCAGGAATTTTCTTTGGAAACGTGTGACGATTTTTTCTTTGGAGAAATATGTTGAGGGACAAATAAATAGTGAATTCTGTTAGCAGTAAATATTCTAGGAGGTCCAATTTTCTTCAAAGTGAATTTTCTGTAGTTGAATATTTTTTTAGTAAATGATCAGTAATCTTGTTGGGTTCCGGGAGGGGATATCTCAAGAGATAAATTTTCTTTGGTAGCGTGAAGCGAATAGGGGTTGTTTTCTTGAGGGAAATGTTCTGTGGGAGACGTTTTCGGAGCGATACTATTCCCGAAACTAATATTCCAGTGGAGAATCTTCTGTGAATCTCATGAGAAAATTTATTAGGGTTTAAATTTTCTTAACGATAACTATTCGGGGTGAAGTTTGAGGGGGACGAATTGTTCTCTTTTCCCTGGAAAATCTTATGGGGGGTCACATTCAGAAAACAAATAAATGTGCTTCAAATTGTCTTGATAATGAATATTCCTGGAACACGTTCTAGGGGAGACCTACTTCTGTAATCATTGAATGAATATTCCAGGAGCAAATATTCGCGAAGCGAGGAAAACTTTTCATAAGTGAGTTGTCGAGCCCAGTTAAATAAAACACTGCACATTTTCCACCGCCGAATACTCCGGAGAAATTTTCCGAAGGGGGCAGATTTTCTTAAAAGCGATTTTGTCACAAAAGGCATTTAATTAATTAATGCGGGTCACTCTGTAATTGGGTGCAATAAATAAATAAAATAAATAAACATTTACCATCAGGTACACTAAAATTCGCAATACTGCCGCCGTTTAAAAGAAAATTCAGAGGCCGCCGCCTAGAACAATACAAATTTTCAATATTCTTTGAGAGCATGCGGTCATTACAAAAGAATGTTGGGACGGAATGGAAGACTTTCTTCTTCTCCAGTTGTCATCACCTAGAAAATTAAACAACTCCTGGGGAGTGAGATTGATTTTTCTTTGTAACTTCCTGCAACAATCGATAGTACTGAAACATGATGAGTATCATAACGAACAAAAATTGTTTACTACATTGGCGCTATAAAAGCAATTTAACAATAAATATTTACAATTGCTTAATATAATTTATACCGCATGTTGACTGCAAGATTCACGTAAGTAACCTTGTCGAAAAGGAAAATTATTAATACCAAATATGGCATAATGTGTATACGCTGTAGGTAAAATCGTTAAATTACAATGGATCTTAGGCGATTTTTATAATTTTGTCTTGGCGAAACTCAATTTAGATGGTTAAGAGATTGAAGCGCTTTAAGTAACGTGGTAATTATATGGGGGATGAGTCGCAATTAAAAAAATGATAAGCACATGCGTTGGTGTAAAAGGAATCACAGATATATTGGTTAGTAGGTCACATACTGGACCAGTTCAATGTCGAATGACAAAGACTTTTCCTTTCATGTTGAAAAAAATCTAGTCAATCATCCCCGATTGACCCCAAAAAGTATTACGGGAACCTATTTCTTGATGATTAAACATTTTGGTTACCACTGTAGATAGGAGGTCTCATCCAGAATTAGCAGGACTATTTTCAGAGGGGCAAACATTGGTGGGGTCAAGACCTGGTAAGGAGCGTTCAGCGTAAACTGATAGCGCACCTAGTGCTTAGTCGCCCTGAGACCGTGTGTCTAAAGCCGTGCTCGTGGTGAGTAACATCTTTTTTTTTCTGCCTTGCTACTGTAGTACTTTAAATGTGCGACGAATTTCATTAATTTATCACGCCTTAAAAGCACCCATTGAAAATTAAAACAGAAATTTTGGCAATTTTCCAAATTATATTATAATATTGCGGATGAATGAAGGGATTTAAAAATAAAACGAATCCGGAACGATCGCTTACAAATGCTGTTTTATTTCCAGTTCGGGAATTTAAAAACATTGTCTACCCACTTTAAGTCTAATTTTAAATACTTAGTAATGGGCTCATTAACTCAAACGCAGGATACTTCTTTGATTACTAAATTTGTATATCTTAAAATTCTAATGGCTTCTTATCTTGGACGACGTTTAAATTTGTTACTTCCAGTATTTCACTTATTTAGACATAGTGTATAAGATCCTTCCTGAGAGTGGCGACCCATTTTATTTTAGGCTAAACATTTTAATGCGAAACCCAAACGAAAACTGCTTCCTCATATTTAACTGCTATAAAGGCTTCTCACCCAATGAGAAAACCACTTTTATAAAGGTCCTCCAATTAATCGGTGAAGAACCATTTGATTAATGATCAAGTGTCATCATGTAGTCGTGTTGGCTATATCTTAGTTCGTCTCTAATAATGGGCAGGGAAAATTCCAAATCAATGGCATTTACATTTGAAGTAGAAAACTAGAAAACTGGATGTTTGTGGATCAGAAATGGGGCAGTAGGGAAAGTATGTCCATACCTGCGCATTTGATCACAGCGGGGAAAGCCGGGAAACATTGCCATATTTTTTTCTTCTTCGTTTCCATTGATTTTTTCAGGAAACCTGAAGAGTTTCCTTTTTAAAGTGATTCAATTTCGATTACAATTTTAGACGATTTTAATTCGTGAAAAATAAGTGTGAGAAATCCCGTGGGACATTAACATCCTTGCGCACGCGTGTACGAGGAAATTCAAGTGGCGGCAGCTTTTGGCGAAGTTATAAAAATTCTGCTGACGACAGTTAGGGTGACTGCCATAAGGGGCGCGAGAGAAAGTAAATTGGAACTGGAACCTTTTATTCAATCCTTCTAGGGGAGGCTGGGAAAATGGGACTGGTATGAGTCACAAAGCAAGATTTTTTGTTGTTCGACGATTTCCTGTCTTCTCTTTCCAATTTATCGTTGTTCCATCTTTTGCATTCCTTGAATAGACCGGCGTCCCACATTAATTTTGATTAATATGGAAGATAAGAATATATTCTCTATTGCCATTAACCTACATGGTGGTGGACTCATTTCAACTTTAGCGCCTAGGGAATATCTATTACGATAAACCATTTAATGCATGATGCGGCATCGTATTTTCTTCAATTTGGGTAGATATTATTTTTTGATTTGAAAAAATTCGATATCCTTTTTTATTCAGAAAATGGCGTTTTTCTATTTTGGAGTGCATATTTTATTGCCTAGTGCTGATTGGCTAAATAAAATTAACTTCCAGTTACAATCTATTACAATTGCGCGATTATAGATCTTTTTTAGTCTAATCCTACAGAGAGACTCTATTTCGAATAACACACACTTGAAATTCAGTTTTCTGGTCCCAGATCTCTTTAGAGTGTTTTATGAGTTGATTTTTGGGAGGAAATATCGTTTCGGAGTGATTTGGACGAATGCAGAAAAAATTAATATCGTCTTTTGCTTACCCTGGGGCGGTTGCTCTAAATTCAAAATCAATTTTGAACTTAATTCGATTTGTCAAATTAATTTTGAACTATATTAATCGTTCCTTAAAATGGGGTTAAATGATGTATTAATGAAACTCTAAACCTTTTTTATTTTTTATTTCGTGCTCCGTGTCCCATTTTTAATAAGAATCAGATGTCATTGGAATGCACAATCATTTGTTTCACTTTATTTACCCTTGCCGTTAAAGTAAGCACCCAACTGTTAAAGAGGCTACACATTCAAACTTATTAAAATGTCAATTTGGTATAATAAAAATAATTAAATATTAGATATAAACAATCAAAACTATGATTGTTTGGTATTAAGGGCTTACGAATGGCGCATCTTATGGTAGTTAAAATTATGTTAAGAACAATTTAGCAAATATAGACCCCAAAAGACAACATAATCCGACACATTATTTACACATCTACAACCACAACCAAATGGTAGTAAAACAGATACTATAGATACTATAAGACGGCTGTTGGCTTATGATGAACTTTTTTCTTCTTACCTACAGGGTGTTGCATAATTGAATGTTAATATTTAAGGGGCCATTTTAAAAAGAAAAGTTCATATGAACTATGTCCTAAGCGTCTTAACTTTTGAGTTACAGAGTGGTAAAGTTTTATTTTTATTTATATTTATTATTAATATCTGTAATGCCACTTTAGACATTTTAATGAAATTTGCCATGTACGTATGTACTATGTATCCAGAGGCATTTTTTAACGTACCACATTTTTTAATTTCCACCAGTGGCGTTCGTACGGAATTTCACATGCCCATTTTGGCAGACATTGATGGTATGCCACTGATTTCTCTGAAAATAATAATTTTTCTTGAAATCCCCAATTATTTTTAAGCAAATTTGATTGTTTTTTTTCAATCCGATGCACAGTTTTCAGTTAAAAAAAATCCGTTTCGTTTCTCTGCATGATCATGACAATATCATGCAGCGAAAAATATTTTCATTTTAAAATCGTGCATCGAAATCAAGCCATCAAATCTGCTCAGGCATCGTACTTCGAATTTTGGAACTTAAAACATTAAGAAAACTACTTAAATAAAAAAGAATTATTACCTACTTATCATTGTAGTAGGCTGCGCCTGTCACAATTATTAATTCTGTTGACGAGTTTTTATTTTTTTAAGCGAAAACGGTGCATCGGATTGAAAAAAAAAGGATTTTTGAAAACTTTACCACTTTGTATCTCAAAAGTTAAGACGTTTAGTACGTTCGTATGAAGTTTTCTTTTTAAAATGGACCCAAAAATCCCCCTCTTAAATATTGACATTCAATTATGAAACACCCTGTATAGTTTCAAGTTCTTTTTGCATTCGGTAGCTTACTATAGCTCTGACACCTGATCCAAGAAAAAACTTGACTATTAATTTGCGCATGTGCAACTCAACTTCTTTATGCATATGCGTAGATATTTTTTTGAAATGTTTATCACAGATGCTTCCAGTAAAGACAAGCATATCGCATATTGTAAAAATCAAATCAAAAGAGGTGCGCATGCGCGAACTGGTGAATGTCAACTTTCTTATCTATGGAGATATTTTTCCGAAAATTTAACCACATATGCTTCTAGTAAAGAGAAGCATATCGCATATTGTGAAAATCAAATCAAAAGATTCTTCTAATACAGACACGCATATTTATGCCTGTTCTGTTCCTTGGTGCCCCGAGTGAAGTGAAAAAGGAAATAAATGTATCTGTGGGTTCCCCAGGACATTTTTGAATGCGTGGATCTACTTGGATTCAATCCACTATCCACTTAGGCCCAGTTGTACAACGTCAATTTAAACTTCAGTTTAGTTTAACTGACAGATTTCAGAAACACGATTGGCCCACTTGTGAAACGTTAGCCAATCAAATCCTTTAACCCACAATTTACTATAAACTGAAGTTTAAACTGACATTGTACAACTGGGCCTTAGCCAATTAGAATTAGTTTGTATCTTTTGTTTTACTCAAAAACATTTGTATTGTTGAGCGCCAATCTTACAAATCTGCTTGGTCTCTTTTCCAAAGTAAACGTTCTGTATTGATTGGAAGGTAGTTTTTACTTACAATCAATAGTAGTTTTTGGGTTCGAAGTTTGAGCTGGCATGGTTAGCAGAGGATGATCAGTCTAAAATGTTTACGATTGGAAGTAACCCAATGACATTGCTTATTTAACTACGGCTCCTAATTAAATTATGCCAAAAATTCATTTCAAAGGTGTAATCCAAGTCGTGTCGGGTCAATTTCAATTTAAAATTATCGGCAGTATGGCTTTCATTTTATCAAAATTTATTTGAGAAACTTAATAATGACTTACGATTTAATCTGTAATTAAAGTAAACGGTATACCTGATTGAAAACTTTAGAATTAGGTTTAAACTTCTTCAAAACCTCCAAAATTTTGAATTTTTTTAGATTATTCAGCGCAATTTGCCTTTTTTGGGGGCCCTTATGAACTCACTGCATTGATTTCTGTTTTGTGGGACGCTCGCGAAAATCAGAAAAATAACTTGTTCTATGGTCTCCTCAGAAATTCCTCATGAATAAACAATATCACAGAAGCAGTAATTAAAAGACTACATCTGTCAGGCTCAGGTCTTGCCTGTTTTTATTATGTCCACCCTTTAATTTACCTTTTGAGTATCGGACTTGTTTTCCCAATTAAATTGATACTGACATAGTAACAAAAACGGATGAAATTCAGTTCTCAAACAACAAACTAATGCGTTTGGATGTTTTTTCGACGAAACCGAGTTGGTAAATAACGAGGTTGGTATCTTTTGTATTGCATTGACGTATTGGACAGGGTCACAGGCCGTATCTATGAAACCGTTAATTGCACTGCTTGGGGAAAAAGATTTTGTTAACAAAAGAGGCCAAGGAAATCCACTGAAGGTTATTTTCAAGTTTCTAGGTTCGTCGCTGGAGGGGAGGATTTTTTTCCTAAAATATACCTAACAAGTATACATGCATCGCAATCGCAATCTTGTATGAATGTTTGATTGAATTTTGATGCAGCAGATATTGCTCTAGCTCATAAAATATGAGGGGTGGGGGAAGGGCAACATCTTTTTAAAGAAATGAATATAACTTCGGTTTAGGTTAACCGATTTTCACATAATTGGCTTTATTGGAAGCATCTCTCTTCGTGAAATCAGCTTCTATATGAATAGTTTTTTTAGTAAATGTGATCAGCGGTACAGGGCGTGGTTTGACATTAATATAAACTTTGAAAGTTTTCTTGAATATTGCAAATGGAACGATATAATTATCAAATAAGATAGTAAAGTAAAAATATTAGTGAAAACCAAACCTTATCACTGTCTGTCTTTGTTTAGATATGGCGAAAATATACACACATTCACAAATTTAAGTTGCAATATTCATCCAAGTTGGCTTTGAAACAAAAGGAACACACTGTCATGTGTCACTATCATACTCGGTAGAGACTTCGTCTTTTTATCGGAAATGATCTTGAACAGTTACGTTAATCTAATTATTATTATTTTTTTTTAATTTAATTTATATTTCTCAGATTTAAAATTTGAATAATTTGAATTATTATTTTCTTTATTGCTTGTATGTGTTCTCTTTTTTCAAAGCCAACTTGGATGAATACAAATATTGCAATTTAAATTTGTGAATGTGCATATTTTCGCCATATCTCTGCTTAGGAAACATACAGAGTGACCCAACGAGAAATATACAGAGGGCTTTTAGGGTATTATGTTTAGACATTTTGAAAAATTCTCGAACACGTCAATTTTGTATTCGAGGGGGACAACTTTTGGAATACAAATCACAAACCCAAGTCTCCACCCCTCTACGTAGGGAGCTTAACCCCTAAAATTTTAAATGGAATCCTTTGGCAAATGGCACATTATTTGAAAGCCAATTTAATCGTGATTACTAATCTGCTTTGCTTTTTAAATTCTATTGATTCGTTTCGGAGATAATTCGCATTTGAAATGGTTTTTTCTAAAAAAACCAAAACAAATGCGATCTAAGTAAGTAACCTTTATTAAAATTTTATTTTGACGCTTCAATTTGTTTGCTAAACTTAAGTGAATCTGTCAATTCTCCGAAACGAATCAATAGAATTTAAAAAGCAAAGCAGATTAGTAATCACGATTAAATTGGCTTTCAAATAATGTGCCATTTGCCATAGGATTCCATTTAAAATTTTAGGGGTTAAGCTCCCTACGTTGAGGGGTGAAGACTTGGGTTCGTGATTTGTATTCTAAAAGTTGTCTCCCTCGAATACAAAATTGACGTGTTCGAGGATTTTTCGAAATTTCTAAATTTAATACCCTAAAAACCCTCTGTAAACTTCTCGTTGGGCCACTCTGTATATCAAAATGCGATTTGCACTGATATTTCCACTTTTTCATCTTATTTGACTATATCATATAATAATTATATCGTTCCATTTGAAATTTATAAGAAATCCTACAAAGTCAAACCGCGCCCCCTACTTATCGCATTTACTAAAAGACTCTATTCTCGTAAAGTCTGATTATACGAAGAGAGAGTTCCTAATTAGACCTATTTTGTGAAAATCGGTTAACCTCAACCGAAGTTACATTTAAATGCCCCCCCCCCCCTCTCCCCATCCCTCACATTTTATGAGCCAGCGCAATATGTGCTGCATCAAAATGGTGCAAAGTGCATACAAGATTTCCTTTTTTAGGGGAATTTTTCGAAAGAAAAAAATTCCTCTTACGTGATGGTTTTGTCCGACTGTCGTCTGTCCGCCTGTTCCTCCATTGATGTCACACTTTCGCCAATCGTTTTCAAGGATCGAGTTCAAGGATCAGTGCTATTGAATATGAACCGGATTAAAAGTCTGGTTTCCTAATGCGGGCTGAGTGGCAGAAAATTCCCCTACTGAAAATCGCTTGGAAAATCGTATGCGATTCTTCGTATCTTGTTGCATCTAAAGATACTGATCTGCGCAAAGGATTCTTGGAGCCCCCAACATTATTATTATACATGTGAGGGAAATGTGAGTTCCTAAAAGAAATCTCAACCTTACTCATTATTTAGATGTTTCAAACATTTATGATTCATGATCCGGACAACCTAATGGAAAAATGCTTCAGTGAGCCCATGTGATTTCGTTCATACTTGAACTTAATTGTGCAAAAAGACGTAGGTATCCAGTTTGTTCTGAAGAAGGGATTAAGCTTTTTATCAGTCCTTTTCTAAGAAGTAATCGGTTTATTTCTGGTGTACAGTTTACTTGTTCAGTAAAAACTCTTTGCGAATTAAGTGGATGGGTAACAGCATTTCATTGATTCACCTGGTGTGATCTTCAGAGTCTTCGTGCCTTCAAAGACGCCATTAACTGATAGTAAAAATCCAATCTCTGTTGTGCCGGAAAGGAGCGGAATATTGCCTAGTCTATTTCGTGATTGCATAATGAGTTTGGTATTTAATTGTTAATACAGATGCGCTTGACACAGAAAAACCGACAATTAGGGTGCCACTTTGATCGGCGCCATGTGTTAATTACCATGTATCTGTTTGGTAAATAAATGTGCGCACCTCTACTTTTAAGTGGAGCAACAAAGAAAAGTTTCACAAAAATTCCTTCGCGTTTAGGGCATCGATATCTTGGAAATTTACGTGCAGACTAATAATAAATACCATAAAAACGAGTACAGTATCACCGATTCGTGTCATTGTCGTGGTTTTTTCATTATCGTTATTGGTAATTCTTGTGCGGTGCGTCATACGTGCTTCAAATACCAAACAGAGGATAGGGCCGTGTTATCCGCACACGATCAAAATCTTCATTTAAAGTTCGTCCAAATTGTCGTCGACGGTAATACGATTTTTATGTCAATATTATAATTTTAACTGCTCTAGTTTTCGTTAACCCAATTTCTTGAATAAATTAGACCCATGTTTTAAATTTTAGTTCATTCAGTTGTGGTAGGTTAACGACAAGGTTTTTCTTTTGGAAAAAATGCTGTGGATGCTAATGTTAAAGGTTGAGTCGCCTTTTGGAAAAAAATGTTAAAAGTACAAATCGAACTTATGCCCGTTTTCCTTTGTTTCAGTTTTCATTTCGTACAGTAAGCAAGAACAGAAACAGCCGCAGCCATGGACGCCATCAAGAAGAAAATGCAAGGAATGAAACTCGAAAAGGAGAATGCATTGGAACGTGCGGCCCACAACGAGCAGATGGCCAAAGATGCCAATCTGCGTGCAGAAAAAGTATGCAAATTTCACCAACCACCCTAGGCACTAACCCCATTTTTCTACAGAATGAAGAAGAAGCACGCGCTTTGCAGAAGAAGATCCAAACCATTGAGAATGATCTCGATCAAACTGGTGAACAGCTAACCCAAATTAATGCCAAACTGGAAGAAAAAGAAAAAGCTCTGCAGACCGTAAGTACTTTCGGTGACGTAAGCGTAATTAGTATCTAGTACTTTGTTTATCAAAGTTATGGTAAATATTAGGTCATCGCATTAACCTTTTGATATGCACATCAAAATTTCGCTCTGTAAATTCCAGAGTTATATTTTAGTTTTTGTGTAGATCGTAACTTACAACTCGCGTCTATTAATAGTATTCCTGGGGGGCTGCCAAATATGGTGCGCTGTTGGGCCTAGCAGTGCCCGTTGAAATAGTGCGAGTGATCTTGTGACGTCATTTTTATAAATCGTTTAAATACGTTTGGCTTAATTTTTTTATTGCACGATTATTTTATAATTAAGTGAGGTGTGAGTTTGGTTGCCGAAAGTGAAGGGGCGTTTGTTAGCCGTAATTGCGGCGAAACACGTGGGTCGCAGCTGAACGTCGGCGCAGTATACGAAGTCCCGAAGTCCGAGAAATTTCGTCAGTTTCACCAACATGGCTGCTTTAGTAAATATGTGTTCGTTTCGTGTCTGAAAAATATGTCCCAAAGAGGCGGCCCGGGGAGTACAAAAAAAAGAGGCCATCAACATCATCCCCGCAACAATGGAAGTAGAAGACGTGCCGCCTTGGAACCATCGTTTCTTCGAGGTTCCAGTGATGTTCAGTTAAAACAACAACAAACCCCTGGGGTTCAGCAATCCACCCCCGAAGTAGTACCTGTGATATTGAGTGCCTCAAGTACTAGTAATAAAGAAGTCGACCAAGGCAAAAGTGATATTATAGATTTAACCAACTGTGATGATGATGATTTAGTTGATAGTAAACAGTCCAAGTTAACTTCTCACAAAAATGATACGTCGAAGAACGGTTCCTTCAGTCATATGTCACTAATTGACCGTCCAGCTGCAGAAGGCTCCAGTCAAAGCGATCAAGAAGCCGAAGATGCAGAAGTTGAGGAACTCTCAAGGTTGAGATGTACCTCAGAAAGGACAGAAGTCGTCGCCGAACGGGAGGCACGAAGGAAAAGAAGATGTGCTGATTATCCTGGTCTCGCTTTTGGCAGTTCCATCTTCAGTTCCGATACGCTGATGAAGTTCTCCATAATACGTAACGAGCTGCATAACATTATGAATACGCAACTTAAGAGGGTACGTTAACATTTTTACGTGCAACTTGTTCAGCAAATTTCTTTGAACTGCTGACCCGATTGCATTTATGCGTGTAATTTTATGCCTCGTTATTTTTAATTAATACTAATTGGCTATTAAAAAACAATACTCGTTCCACTAAACATTTTTAATTGGGGTTTGTACAGTTCAAAATACGTGAACTAAACTCCCCCCAAATTTCATCCCTTCACAAGATCACTGAATTTCAAAAGTGCGCAGTTGTTAATTTGCGTTGTTGCCAATCCAATGCAAGCTCAAAATATATACCAGTGGCGTATCGCGATTGTTGCATCTAGGGGTCAGATTGCAAGCACAAAAATCAACGGTCGACTATTGATGTATTTGTTCTTGTATAGCAATAACGTGTTGATTTTGGTGGAATCTTCATATCATTGGAATTGGGCAACTTCTGTAGGGGTGGCTAGAATTTTCCTAGATCACACATTGGGGTTTGTGATCACATAAGCTTTTTCATCTAATACGGGCGCCGGATATTGTTTGCTGCTACGCCTGATAGTTACGCCACTGCATTAAGGCGTATTCAACGCACCTGAATGAAAACCATTCAAGCAAAAATTCTCGCAATTTTGTTCTAAATTTGGCATGTGCTTGAGCAGTGGCGTTTCGTTATAATAAAAAGGATTCGCCAACAAACTCGGTAACACTAACGTTTATGCTCTTTTTCTAAATTTGTTTAAAATCTTAAGGCTCCTTGAGGGTCATTTTCCCTCGCATTTTCCACTTCAATGGCTGTGATAGACGAAGACTAAAATGGGTAAATTGCCCAAAAGTGTAGGTACCATGCGTTCTATTTTTGTTGAGACTGCAGTGGATTGTTTCTGTGATACAGGGTGCAAACGAAAAGTTTTCTACCAGTGGCGTAGTCAAACAAATTTTTGGATCACCGGTTCTGGTGCAACACTGTATATGTCAACGTCAATTTTTTTGCATTATTTTTCCTTATCACATTGATGTATCACATCCATAGGATGTAAGAAACGGTTCTCCAAACGAACTGACTCGATTATTGTATGTCCGTTTTATAACTTTTGAACTAGTAGCCCAATCTTGGAACTGATTGAAATTATGGATTCTACAGGCCACATTCTATAAGAAAATTTTTTTTCCGGGTCGATCTGAGACAATTTTTTTTCGGGCCTCAAAAAAAAGGCAGTGTATAACCTTCCTTTTTTACCAAAAATCGACTGGACCAAAATTTCTCGGGAACACTTTTTCTTATTAATTTGGGTGCGTAGAATCCAAATCAATTCGTACTTTTTCGATCAGACTTCTCAATCAAAAGTTATAGACTAGAAACCAATTTCGAAAAAAAATTCATAGGGCTGTAACTTTTGAACTAGTAGCCCAATCTTGGAATTGTTTGAAATTATCGATTCTACAGGCCACATTCTATAAAGAAAATTTTTTTCCGGGTCGATCTGAGACAATTTTTTTGCGGGCCTCAAAAAAAGGCAGTGTATAACCTTCCTTTTTTACCAAAAATCGACTGCACCAAAATTTCTCGGGAAAACACTTTTTCTTATTCATTTTGGTGCGTAGAATCCAAAACAATTCGTACTTTTTCGATCAGACTTCTCAATCAAAAGTTATAGACTAGAAACCAATTTCGAAAGAAAATTCAAAGGGCTGTAACTTTTGTAATATTTTATCTTCAAGGTCGTCAGATGCCAATGATCCTAATTTTTGCCATATTTCAATTTCAAGGTTATCAGATGTAAACGGTCCTATTTTCTGTGGGTGAGGGTAGGTTACTCACAACCTGGCGATGACCTTGGAAAGTAGGCCAAGGTGAAGCTCAAAGATTGCATTGCCTCCAAAGCCCAATAACCCCATTTTTTGTGGTATAATATTTCATCTTCAAAGTCATCAGAGACCAATGGTCCCCATTTTTGCCATCTTTCATTTTCAAGGCCATCAGTGCTCAATCGTCTCAATTTTTGCAGGGTCATTTTAATTGGCGATGATCTTGGAAAGTAAGTCAAATATACTGCTTGCCTCCAGAGACAAATTACTCTATTTTTGTGGTGTCATCAGAGAACAATGGCCTCAATTTTTGCGATATTTCCTTTTCAATGTCATCAGAGGTCAATGGTCTACCATTTTTTGTCGTATCATTTCATGCCCAAGGCCATCAGACGTCAATGGTGGAGGTAGGTGACTCGCCTCCTGGAGATTACGATGAAAAGTAGGCCAAGGTGAAGTTCAAAGGTCAATCGACACCTGGGGGTGTGTCAAAGTGAAACTCAAAGACCCGTTCGGTCGTTCACCCCCTCCTCTCGGATGCCACGTGGAAACAAGATTGACAAAGCGAGTAAGATGCAAAATGTAAATATTCACCAATAGGAGTAGATAAAGGGACAGGAAAGTAAAGTTCAAAGTGCAAAGTACTAACTTTTCAAGGTCATTATTTGAAGGGCAAATATTGAACCCATTTTCCAGGGTGATCGACCGAACAGTGTGTCGATCTGGAAATGTTTAGGAGTGAACGACCAATCCGTCTTCTAAGTATCACCTTAACCCGCTATGCAAGGCCACCGCTAGGTGCAGACCTTTGAAATAAAAGTGAAGGGGGGATTTGAAAGGGGCGTGAAAAAGGTTGGAAGTAGAAGAAGAAGAATACAAAGTGTGTATCCCTAACTAAACTCAAAAATTATCCTCACTCGCCGGATAATTATTTTTACCTTAATATATTGCTGTGTAAACAATGTCAGTTGGGACGTTGTAGTTTGTTTTGAGATATTTTGGAATGAATTCTGGTCTATAATTGTCTAATTATGTTCATTAAAAAAATTTCGAATCAAGCTCGTTGGGCTAATTATCTTTTAGCACAAAACAATTTTTGCGAATTAACCGTGTTAAGGTCGTATTTGTTTACCTTGTTTGTAAATGATAAACTATTTCTTGTAATTAGGTTAAGGAATTTTTGTACCTCAATTTTATTGTTATCAAGATACTCACTAATGCGAATGTGACTGTTGCGATATGATTTATTAAGCTTTTCGCTTATTAAAGAAAAGATAAAAGTTAATTGTTTGTTTCTGATAAACAGATCTCTTTTCGTCGACAAACAGAACCGAATGGAATAACCTTGAACTTGGCGCATGCGCAGATCTCAACGTCAAAGTGCGCTAAAACCGGTCTTGTATACCTAGTGATTAACCAAGCTTACGCCCTTAAAGGTATCTTTCCGATCTTGACGGCAATTTTTAAAGGAGCAATTTTAATCATCTAAATACACCTTCCTGCGTATCGGTGATTCTGAGTAAGATTCGGAATGGAGAAACCATAATAAATCAACAGGTTACATATCTAAACTTTGAGTTTCTGCAAAATTTATTAAACTATATAAATGTATATTCAAGGCACAAGAGAAAGCACCGTTTAATTTATAAGATAAAACATATTAGATAAGTTGTCAATATATTTTGCAGAACCCAGCAACTTTGTGGTCTTGAATTAGCTTCGAAGGAAAACGAGTGTGTCTAAAGCAACAAATGGATTAATTGATAACTTCTGCAAAATCGACTAGCGGCTCAGTTAATCTGATTTATTTGCACCACCTTCGTCTCATGTCGAGAATAAGGCAAACCGTGCGAGTATTGATCGAACCTCGGACCAAATGAAACTAACATACGTAATCGAAAACTGAGTTCAGGTGACGACGGTAACAATACAAATGAAAGAAAAGCACAAAGTTACATAACAGCTACATCACCTGTACATGACACGAACATCAATAGCTTTATGCAACCGCAGTCACTTTTCACTGGCAGATATTAATGAAATCCACCTCCAGAAGGTTACTTTAAAGGGACATCGCGAAAAAAGTCAAGACCGCAGTTTTATGGGTTCTCGGGAAATTTTACGCGCTAAAAGAGGGCATCAACAGTGATGTTTACATGTCGCCAAAAAACCGTACATCAATTCGCTTTGAGTAATTTGAGATCATTGTGCTTTTACGACGCGCTCGTTCCCTCAAAGATTGAACGTTCGCCTGGGAAAGGATTTTTTGTAAGGAACGCGACCTTTATACAACGTCGTCGAATTTAGTTACTTGGTAATTTCTTTTTATCCACGTAGTTTCGCTCTTTGATAGTTGATCCAATAAATTATACATATTGAAAGCTTTTTTTTAATATCCTTTGCAAAGTTGTATTTAAAGCATTTCGGGAGAGTACTCAGAGACATTTTAGCAATGCCTTGTTATGTTTTTCTTTATGTTTACACTGTACCCAATCAGCGTTTCTATAATAATGTCAAAATAATTGTTTTGTGGGAATATTTAAATTGCATAATTAATGAGCTGACCCCCTATTTACGACCATAAGATGATAATGATCATCAGCCATATGTAGTGTTGGGTAAACAACTTCATTTGGGCGTTATTTCGGCCTAAATACCTAAAAATTTTCGAACGTCCTGTATATAAGAATATTTCAGTGTAAAGTAAATCTGGTAAGTTTACACGAATAAATACAGAATGTGATCGTTTCATTTGAATGTGTATTTCAGCATTTGCTTTTCCTTTTAGAATTCTTTGTAATTGCGTAGTTTTAGTTTTAATTTTATCGCTTTAAAATTCTTCAATTCGCTCTGTGCGTAGTAAATATTCCTCAGCTTGAAGGCCAAGCCCTCTGGGCCCAAGCAAATGCAGCCAATGATTCCAAAGAAGGAACCTCAGGAAATCATCCAAAGCTGAGAATGGGCCTTGACGACAACGTTTAGACTTAGAACAGTGGGCAATGGACTTTGATCGGTCGGCAACCTTTGAACTTTGAAAACCGGGGAATAGAAGTTGACTGATTTGGACTTTGAACAATTTGATCGATAGCTTGACGTTTGAAACGCAGCCGTTTGTTTTGGTATTGCCGCATTTAGGCGTATTTGAAAAAACAATCTACCTTGTTTAAGTGTAAAGTTGTGTAGAATAACGCTAAAGAGTATTTATGTCGTGTTAATAGTTAATATTAAGTCGAGTTAAGCCGAGGCGTGTTTTCAGGTTTACGAAGAAGTATGAAAAGCGCAATTATGCCCGGATAATAAAGTTTATTTAACTTAAGATAATTAAAACTTTTTCTTTAATCGATCGCTTGTTGCGTGGTACATGTTATCTGGCCCTGAAAACGTCTTCCAAACGTTTCCAAAAGCCTCCAAGAACCTTGAAAAGGTTATAAAAGCCTTTAATTGGCGACGAAGAATAAAGCGAACCCTCCCAGATGGAAATTGGATACAGTCGACCCAATGAAGCAAGTGCTGATGGCGATGACACCAGCGCTAAGTGTCACTGCAATCATGGTGTGCCCTAGAAGTAGATTTAATACTGACCTTCCGACCCATTGAACATCGAAGAAGCAGAAACGTGTCCTCATATCCTCCTCATACTAGACGCGGAAATATTTCTGTGGGCTGAGGAGAAAAACCTCCTTGCCCATCATATTCTCCTGGTAGCCAGACAAGAACTTTCTTAATAAATACCTCGTGGATTACGAGCAGAAACGCCTACACCTGATACCAGATTTGGAAAACGTTGAGCTAAAGCAAGATGTCGAAATATTTCTGGAGGTCATGGCAGAAGACCTCCTTTTTCAGCATGTTCTCCTGGTAGTCAAAGACTAGAGAAACTGGTGAAGAAGCCCACGTGATCGTAAATGAAAGGGGAGTGGGGTAGATAGAGTTTAAGTAAAGGATGCATCAATAACAGAGAATTTTATTACAAAACATTGGCAACACAATCACTCCACTTCCTCCTCGCGCGTCTCCTTTTTAATAATCCCCAGCGTTTTGGCAATGCGCCGCACGTGCGCCAGCACCTCCTCCTGCACGAGATTAAAGCTCATCGCGAGCAGGGAGATCCCGAACAGCAGGTACAACGAGCAGAACGCGATGCTGACCTTGGCCTCGTTGTTCGTGGTCTTGTTGCTCGACGGCACGAAGTCGCCGAAACCGATCGTCGTCAGCGTGATGAAGCAGAAATAGGCGGCGTCCAGGTGATCCCAGCCCTCCCAGTAGTGAAAGAGGAACATGCCGGCGATTATGTAGCTGAGCACGAGGAGGACGCAGAGCCAGATCGGGACCGGCTTCGTGCGTATGAGGCCCATGTCGTAGTAGTCGTCGTCCGGGTAGTCCTGGTCGGATTCCATTTCGTCGGTGTAGCGCTGACGGGTCCCGAAACCGAGCGGTGACATTATCTTGGGGCTGGGGCTGTACGGAGCTGAAACGAGCGCGGTTAGTTCGGGAGTTTAAGTTGTGTTAGACTTACGGCGTCTACGACGGCTGCTGAATTTAATGGAGTCGAGCGATTCCGGGGAGGGTTCGCGGTTTGTAATCGGGGGTTCTAAATAGCGAGACCTGGGGGTGGAGGCGGTACGCCTGCCTTGAATCGGAGGCGTTTGCCTCTGGAGGTTCCTGCTTCTTCTGCTGCATGACGCTGAAATCTTGGGCTCCTCCAGGTCGATGACGTATCTGTTGCAGAGCACTGGGGCGTTTGCCAAGATGAAGGGCTCTAGGCTGGCTTCCAGCTGCCTTGGGGCGCGCTTGCGGTCCAGGGAACTGGCACGTTGGTACTTGGAAGGCCGTTTGCTCTCAGCCACCTGGGGATGCTTGCTCGGTGACCGAATCCGTGGGGGCACGCTAAGCCCGCGTGCATGTGAGCGAGGGTGTTCATCATGGTACCTACTAAAAGATGGTCAACGGCAAGTACAATAAGCTCATACCTCAAATCCGGGTCCGAGTAGGAAGACGGAACGGTCTCCGAGAAGCCAAAACCGCTGTCAGCCGAACGCGTGGAGTTTCGCACGGATCTTCTGAAGGAAGCAGTCCGCGACCGGCCGAATCTGGTGCTAAAATTACCAATGAAGTCAATTTTAATGAGAAGGATAACTTACTCTCTACTCCTCGACGTATGGCGACGGTTACGTCTTCGTCGCGGCCTCTTGGTGCACACGTAACAGCAAATCTTCCAGTAGAGAAACCGAAACGAGGTCGCCAAGATATCGCCAACGTTCGACAGGCACAAAAGCATAAGAGGTATGCCCAAAATGGCGTAGAATATCGTCGCGACTTTCCCCCAGTCCGTCTTGGGCGCGATGTGGCCATACCCTACAAATCATTCGGCAATTACCAATTCAACTCAGTCACGGTCATTGCTGTTTCTAATTAGTCGAAATTATACTGGACGGACGGACGTGGATGATTACGATCTTTCTTTGTACTGCACTTCGGGAATTCCTGAGGTCGTTACCTTGTCCTGAAGAATGACAAACGTGGACGTAAAAAACGCGAACTGCAATTATATGGCATCTAATAACGAAATGTCGAAGGTTTTTAGGCCAATGTCTCAGCGAGCAGGTCGCGCCGACCACGTCCGATGCACTTTCCTTCTCTAACTAATGCTAATTAATCTTCGATCAGAAATTCCAAACATGCTACCATTTATAAATCTCTTAAAATTTTAGATTAAATTATAGTGCACTTGCCTGTGATCCTGATAGCTGATTATTAAACATTGTATTAAAAGATCATAAGTCGATATTAAAAGGTTTTAAACCACCCCGCATACCTGCAAACCTGAGACAACGGTTTTTAAATAAATTTGTATCAGGGGACCATGATACATGCGAAGGTGTCCGTGTTTCTGCAGGCATACCTTACACTTTCACGCGTTTCTGAGCTCCTGACATTGATTTTACTATGCATCTGTGATTCTGATACACCTTTAAAACTGTTAAACCTTCATTCCTATTTTGCCCTACGAAAATTTGTAACAGGATAAAGAAGATGTCAATCATTTACATCAGGAGGGCACTTTCCTACGTTTCTGGGTTCCTGATACTCTATTATTGAAAGAGGGATTTGTAGGAGGAAACATCCTACTAGTAAAGCTTACATTTCCAGCGCTTCTGTGATCCTGATACACCTCTGCATCAGGAGAGCATAATGGTCACTTGCAATGATTTTGACACATCGGCAGTATAGAAAAAAATGATCAAGGAACCACAATACATACGAAGGTGTTTGCATCACCCTACGTCTCTGTTGTCCCGATTCAACAATTCAGATCAGGAGGCCTATAAAAATTTTGAAAACTACATGTGAAATGCACATTACCTACGAAGACGTCTGTATGAACACGCCAGACATCCCTTCTCGCCTGTGACCCTGGTACGTGGGTAATTAAACTAACACCTTTATTAAGAGAAAATAGTGGAAGAATGCGTCTCCAAAGAAATCTTACGCCTTCGCAGGTTTTTGTAATCCTGGTACATTGCTTACGTTAAAAAGATTGTAGCAGGAATACATGAGACGCACGCTTCTGTTGTCCTAATACGTCTGTACTGAAGCAGACATTTGCTGGAAAATTGTACACTTTGTTTTTTTCTGTGAACCTGATATGGAGAAAATTACAGTAAAATGTTGTATTAGGGGACCACAATACAAGCGAAATCTAGTACTCTAGGATCAGGCATTGGGGTTTTAGCATTATTTTTCGGAAATATACATCGACTTATTCGTTTGGTGAGGGGTATTCCATACCCCCCAGACCCCCCTGTTCTAAGCTTTCTACGGTACTGAGAAAAGAATTTCATAATCCTTCCTCGTAACTGTCATGAGAGTCCTGAAGCCTAAATGGTTTGTAGAAAAGTGGTACCGGGGGGTCTGGGGGGTATAGAATACCCCCCAGTAGACTACACTTTAATTGCTATTTCCGGAATACCACAATAAAGGCATTGGGGTTTTAGCATTATTTTTCGGAAATATACATCGACTTATTCGTTTGCTGACGGGTATTCCATACCCCCCAGGCCCCCCGGTTCTAAGCTTTCTACGGTACTGAGAAAAGAATTTCATAATCCTTCCGCAGTAACTGTCATGAGAATCCTGAAGCCTAAATGGTTTGTAGAAATGTGGTACCGGGGGGTCTGGGGGGTATGGAATACCCCCCAGTAGACTACACTTTAATTGCTATTTCCGGAATACCACAATAAAGGTATAGGGGTTTTAGCATTATTTTTCGGAAATATACATCGACTTATTCGTTTGCTGAGTGGTATTCCATACCCCCCCAGACCCCCCCCCCCCCCCGGTTCTACACTTACTGCAGTACGGAGAAAAGAATTTCATAATCCCTCCTCGTAACTGTCATGAGAGTCCTGAAGCCTAAACGGTTTGTATAAAAGTGGTACCAGAGGGTCTGGGGGGTATGGAATACCCCCCAGTAGACTACACTTTAATTGCTATTTCCGGAATACCACAATAAAGGCATTGGGGTTTTAGCATTATTTTTCGGAAATATACATCGACTTATTCGTTTGCTGACGGGTATTCCATACCCCCCAGGCCCCCCTGTTCTAAGCTTTCTACGGTACTGAGAAAAGAATTTCATAATCCTTCCGCAGTAACTGTCATGAGAATCCTGAAGCCTAAATGGTTTGTAGAAATGTGGTACCGGGGGGTCTGGGGGGTATGGAATACCCCCCAGTAGACTACACTTTAATTGCTATTTCCGGAATACCACAATAAAGGTATAGGGGTTTTAGCATTATTTTTCGGAAATATACATCGACTTATTCGTTTGCTGAGTGGTATTCCATATCCCCCAGACCCCCCCGTTCTAAGCTTTCTACGGTACGGAGAAAAGAATTTCATAATCCTTCCGCAGTAACTGTCATGAGAGTCCTGAAGCCTAAATGTTTTGTAGAAAAGTGGTATCGGGGGTTATGGAATACCGAAATTGAGGCTCGAATTTGAAGCTTCAAAGTATAATACAAATCAGGAATTTTGAAGTGAAGTGAAATTTGAGCTAGCAAGAACTTGAAGTTAAAGTTTGAAGCGTTAGGAAATGTGCAGATCAAGCAGTTTTATTTTGAAGCTGAAAATTGAAGATTGAAGTTAAACCTTGAACTTGAAACTTGACATTGATACTAAAAATGAAAGTTCGAATTTGAAGCTTCGTGGAATATGCTGATCACGTTTGATTTTGAAAAAAACTTGAAGCTCGAATTAAAAACTGGACTTCCGATTCCCTTCACGGTGCCAGTTCCGAAGTCTCACCGCTGAGATCTAAACCCTCGAACGGCCGAACGCAATTACCGCTGGAAATGGATACAAAATTACACCTGTACGAATCGATCCCACGCGAATTGCAAAAATGCAAATGACTGGTGATCTACATTTTCGGTACCGCACGACTATCACTTTCACAAGCCTATGAGATTGTTAGAGAAGTTTTTAATTAAAATCAACCTCCGTCCGTCTCTCACTCGCTCGTTGGCTAATTAGAGAGGTCTTTTTACGCAATCGATATGGTTTATTAAAAAATGCCGAAGCGCCGCCCACCTCCATCCACTCTTCGTCAATGAGCTTATATAAACGCCAAGAAATCCCCGTTCTGTAAGTGTTATGTAACTCGCGTTGATTGTTATTAACATCTGGAAATGTTGACGAAGATCGGTAAGTCGATAAACTTTTATTAAGGGTGGCGGGCCCCCCGCTTGAAATCCCTCTCGCACCGTGCGCCCTCTGCCGCTGCAGATGATGCCGAAGAGACGTGACCGAAATCGCTATATTTTATTAGCGGAGATTAAAGAATTTATTATTCAATAATTTGAAAAGTGTAGGTCGTGCGGGATTGCATAATTCATTTTTACAGCGGCGATTATTTGCCTTCTGCACGTGTCTCGGGGCGAAGACGACGAGAAGTGGGTGTGGAAAAAGAACGATGCAAGGTACGTTTCGCGCTGTGAAAAAGAAGGGGTGCACTAAGTGTTTTTCTTTTTAGTGCGCGATATTCGGTTGTGGAAGATGGTCCCGGATCTCACGATTTTGATCGTCTTCCTAATAGACCCGCAGGAATACATCATCAAGGAGCCGGATTTCCCGATAGGCCCTTTCAAAGTCGGCCGGGTCACGGATTTGTCGCAAACGAACGGTGAGTGCGCGACGAGAATTTTAATGCGGAGAAAAAAATTGTTCGATTTCAAGACCTGGGGATTACTACCCTCCGCGGCCGGGAAGCGGGCCGGGGATACTGACCGGGCCGATACCGTCGTGGGTGCGAGAGCCGCCCTTCAAGCATTACGACAAGTGCAAGTGCGCCGTGAGGTTCAATTGCAACAGTCCGGGAATTGCCTACGTCAGTTTAACCCCTAAAATCGGCGCGAATTACTCAAGTGGGATTTCAGGGACAATGCGACGTGGGGAAGCAGTACTGCTGCTATAACAGTAACAAAGACGGAGTCCTCGGTGGCCCGTTGCCGAGTACGCCGATCCATTCGCCGGAAAATGGAGTTTTAGTGGGACCCGGAGGGCCCTTCGATTATCCCGACAGGCCGCGTCCACCCTACCAAGGGCCGAACAGCTTCGGAGGCGGCGGTGGCGCTGGCGTGTTAGTTGGACCTGGTGGACCCACAGGCATTATCGGGAGACCACCTCGTGAGTCTACTACTATTTCTTCCTGATGTGATAGCATTACCACTTTTAGGGCCTTACGATGGACCATTCAATAACGGTGGCCCTTACGGAAGACAAATTGCCACCAAGAATACCAAAGATATTTAGATGATTGCCGTCGGTGGATTTTCCACGCATTGAGTTACCTACATTGTAGTCATTAAACGTAATTCCATCACGTTTCTTAATTGTTAATTTAATTGCTTTGTTTATTAAATAAATGTTTTAGTTTGTAATAATGAGGTTAATCGGTTTCATTGTATTACATGTTGCATAAGAACCCAACGTGATTGGTCGTCTCCACGATTCCACCCATCGACCTGAGAAACCAATTTCAAAGACCTGTTTCAACCCTTCCGTGGCGACACTATTCCTATGACTTGTATTTATACCCCCTCTCCTTTCCACTTGCTTCACACCTTCCTTGTGCACTCTCCCTTTCTCTTTTGCGTCACTTTCGCTTCTCCGTCACGTCACTTTCACGTCTCCTACAAGCGTTCTTCTCGCACCTCTCATGTACAGTGCCAATCATCCCCCCCCCCCGCACCCCCTCCCTCTTATTCGCCATGTATTTCCAATTTCAATCAAGGTTTCCTCCGCCACTTTTACATCTCTGTCGCCCCTACATCTGCCTCACTCCTTCCTTATGC